TCATAGTTTAATCATTAGTGCCGACACATCAGTCTCGGCACTAATGATTTCTTTCCGATTCTACTACGTACTGTGCATATTTCTTTTATTTTTTTGCTTTATATATTTTCAATCATATACGCACATTATGTTTTTCCGGGATAGAGATTAGCAGCATGGGATTTTTAATAGGTCTAATCCAATGTTTAAAATAACGGGCTGGGTCAACCAATTTCAGTGAAAATAGACGGTCGGATGCTTTTCTTTTTTTCTTTGAATTTCTAGGATTTCTACAATTTATTAGAGCGCCAGGTGATAACGTAAGAGTTTTTGTAGGACCTTTAACATACTTTTAGTATATAATAGATTTTAAGGGTTTCGCTATCAGAGCCACGTAGCGGCGTAAGAGTGTTTGCAGAAAGTTTAATATACTTATTGAGTATACAATAGATAGATTATGGATCTTAATTTAACTAAATATATATATTTATATCTGTGAAGTAATATATTTTGTCTTTATATCGTAGAAAATCATATTTTAAATACCATCGATTTTTATAGATGTGTGTTTTTTGTTCTTTTTTTATGTACTTGCGTATGGTTTTTTTTTCTTCCAGCGAACATTAGTAAAGTTTTGTTGTTGTGTTTCCAATCATGTATATATATACGGAAGAACAGCATTAGCGTTTGTATCCTATCAAATCGTACGTACGGCACAACGATTGTAGCGCTTGTATGTTATAAACATGAGGAAATATTATTTTTTAATAATAGATATAATCTAATGGTGTAAAATTGATCGACCCATTATTTTACACCATTAGATTAGATCTATTATTAAAAAATAATATTTAATGGTGTAGGACCACGTGGCGCTCCTAATGGTGTAGGACCACGTGGCGCTCCTACAAACGTTCTCAAGCCACCACGTGGTGAGATTAGGTAGTGCCATGTGGCGACTTTGGAGCATTTGTAGGAGCGCCACGTGGTGGCTTGAGAACGTTTGTAGAAAGTTTAACGGACTTTTAGTATATAATAGATAACACGACATTTTTTTTCAAACATAATCCAGAATGCCATAAAAAATATTACATATAGATAAAATCCAACAAAACATATAATCATATAAATATATATAATTTTTTGGATAAATGAAGGATTGACACTTATTGCAAATCCAATGATCACAATGAACTATATCCATTGTACCCAACAAGATGTAGTACAAACAATCTTGGTAGTTGCACAAAATGTATTTGTCATTACTTCTTGCACAAAATGTATATAATGTATTCTTGGGAGCTAATTGCTTCATCATAAAAGTTCAGCTTATTACATAGCTCTCCTACTTGTTTATATCTTATGATAATATGATCCGCGATATGAGTTCATGAATAATTTCCGTAGTGGGTGTTATTTGACCATTGTTTTTTTCTCATGTTTGCATTTTTTTATTTAATCTATCCCTAAAGACTAGCAATTTTGTAAGTTTTTGGAAATTGCTTTGATAGATGAAATCAGCGGGCCTCCATTACATTCCATGGTAGAGTAGGTAAGTAGTCGGTTGGCCCCACAATAATAGTTTGTATTGAGGTGAGAAGGATTATCCTTGTATTAGTTACATCTTTGTTGCACCTGCTGATCAGTTAATATTTTTAGTTCAGTTTGACCTTGTCTAGATAGGATAGAGTGTAGTTTCATATGCTGAGTATTTTGTGTGAATTGTGGAGTGTAGTTTGATATGCTGAGTATTTTGTGCGAAATGTAAGTATATATACTGTGAAGCCAAGGTTTATACCAAAATAGGCTAGCGTTGGAAGTGGTATGTATAGACAGCTTAGAGTAGTCCAATGATCTCTAAAATTGTGTTGAGCGCCCATCACTTAAGCATACTTGTGATCTATATAACTAGTTCTATTTCTCATGGAGATTGATGTTCTTGATGAGTTTCGCCTTTGATTTTTTTTACCACATCACATAAAACCATTTTTTAGTCAATCTATAGCTTCAATACTATTGTAACGCCTTTACAGATGTCATATAGTGATTTAAAATTATAGACATCTTAAATTAAAATTACTTATTTATTATCGGCTTGAGAGAAGTTATATATTCTATTTTGTTTATTAAGACTCTTCATTCCGTACTTTCTTTTTGTTTAAACTCATGCTTACGAAATATGTGCTATTTATTCTTCTGTTAGGAGCAACACTTTTATTTTCGTTATTAAAGGTCTATAATCAATATCTATAACAAGGATTCTTTTTATAAGTGATGTTGATCTAAAATAAGGATTCTTCTTAAAAGTGATGTTGATCTAAAACAAGGATTCTTCTTAGAAGTGATATTGATCTAAAAAATATAAACCTGACTACGATTCTTGATCTTCACATTGCTACTGAACAAGGTTCTATAAGACCTTATTTATTTAGTTCTATATTAATCCTTAAATATGTCATATGTCAAAATAAGTCCTATATCTGTTTATAAATTTATTTTTCGTGTCTTAAAAGTATTTTAGGACACGAATACAGCTTGTTATATTTGAAGTGCCAATAAAATGTGTTGAGATCTTTTTTTTCTTGTCACTATACCCTTGTCTAGATATATTACCTGGAATATTCCGGTAATAATTTAACATGGAAATAAAAAATATTTGTCAATTTCATTTTTTTTTCACCTATATCTCTTTTGATCATTTCTATGCATTATATATATTTGATTTGTTATTCATGTCATTTAGGAATGCATTGATAGAGAATGTATGGTTAGAGCTAAAGAAAATTATGCTTTTTGGTAAGAAGACCGTGCTCTTACATCACTTCTGCATACTCATGTAGATATTTGGGACTACTCATTTATTTTATGAGACTTTTTACGGGTAGCCAGGCTGAAATTTTCTGTTATTTCAGCAGAATTTGTAGCTGTCAACGATCGGCTACACGTTGCGGTCTCTGAAGACGCCAGCCGCTCATGCATCATCTCTCGCACGCTGTGCGTGCATCTCCAAGCTTAGGCTGCATTTGCCCTAAGCTCGTTTTGTGTTTACTCCCTCACTTCCATATTCTTTCTTAGTTGTATCGGTAAAAAATCTCTGATTATCCTCTTTTACTTTTTGACTTTGGGACGAGTGATTCATATAAGTATACAGAGGACAACATTTTTCATGTGAACTACTATTATGCCTAAATAATATAATTATTTTTATGTTTTGACCACAAAAGAGACACATTTCAGTGCTTGGACAGACAAAAACATAACCTTATTCAAATGTAACTAAAAATTGCCATCAGTCGTAAATGGGACGTTTATGCTTTCAACAAAACACAAGTTCTTAATATATCTGCAGAGAAGTTTCATCATCTGTCTCCATAAGTATTAAATTTCTCCAGATGATCTCTACAACTCTAATGTGCTTATAGAGTTGTTTAACAAATTAAGCATCCCCTATCCATTTGACTGACAATCTCCTTCAAAATCTACAGGAGTTCAATCCACAATAGCATTAAGACTTTATATGCACCCAGTCTCTTAACAAAGTTCACACGTCATAAAAATCATATTACAACCCCCATCGGAATTTCTGAAATTCCTGTTAACTTTACCAAAATGGGAAATCATTTAGCAAATGACCAACAGCCCTGAGAACAAGCCAAGCATCACTAACTGAAAAAACAACACAAATTCCTGGCGCTCCAAGATTAATTCAAAACTGAACTCTCTTCAAGCTCCAACTCGACAAAATGTACACTAGTACTAGTACTAGGCAAAATACCTGCTAGCTGGAAAATAAACTAACAAAACTAAGTACATTTCATCGCTAATAGCCCTGACAAAAAATTATTTTAACAAAACTATTTTAGGAGGTTACAAAACACACCAATTAATTGCAAATCTAAGGGCTTAAGAAGACAATACACAGAATTATGCTAGATGAAATTTTAAAAAAGAAATCTCCAAGAGGTAGTCAAAGACTTCACTGAGAAATGATTTCTTAGTGAAATTTACAAATAAGAAAACTGCATGCAGCCGACATGCCTGCTAATTCCCGGTAAGACGCACTGTTGGAGTTGGACGATCCCACCGAAAACATAATTTTAAAAACTGAAAAAAACAAAATATAAAATAACAAACATGACAAAACCACTTATTTTGAACTAACAATTATACACCCCCATCTCTCTCTCCCCCTGCTCAAAGAAAAAAAGTAATATACACTGCTGGACGGTCCCACCTAAAAAAACTAATTAATTCACAAAACCGCTTATTTTGAATTAACAAATGGGAAGCACAAAACCACTTTTTTTTGGAAAAAAATAAAAACTGGCGAAAACAAAATACAAAAGTACAAAATATAAACTACTTCATTAATATGTAAAAAAATTTTTTACAAAAATAAAAACAAATATGACAAAATACAAAACCGAACATAGACTATAACCTAAATAATATGGTTTCGTAGTTGCTATGATAACTATAGCCTAAATATTCAGTGGGATCTATGTGTCAAAAATAGAACTAACAACCTACGAAAAGAATCATGCTATGATTTAGTGCCTAATGGTGTATAGCCATGATGACAAAGAAATTGATAAGTCACTGATGTATTACTACAAAACAAATGCTGGTAAATATATCACTGAAGAAGAGATGATTGGGCAACCTTGGATTTTCCGCGGGGGGGGGGGGGGGGGGGGGGGGGGGGGTGGGGGCACCGAGAGCTAGGCCCATGAACAGATATGACCCAGGGGGGCTCCGCCGTCGAGCCCCCTCAAGTGGGGATCTCGCTGCAATAAGAGCCCAACGACGTTTAAAAAAAAGAGAGGGAGAAAGAGGAAAAGTTTGAGCGAAAAGAAATGACGGAACCGGAAAGAAGAAATCATACCTGCGGGGAGGACGTTTGAAGGTCCACTCCGGGGGCTCAATAAAGCTCCCCTATCTTCTGGAGCCTCTTTTTCTTCCGCTTCGGCTCAGCTGCGGCGGGGCGCCAGTGGCTAGACGGTGGCCGATCGGCTACGCGCTCAGCGCTGCCACCGCGGCGGGGGAGGGGGGGAGGGGGCAGGCGGCCCGTACCTAGAGGCCTTCCGCTTCTCCTTCGGGTCGATACCAGGGCCTCTGCCGGCCCCGTGGCTTGGGCCAGGCACCCTGGAGCTACCACCACCGCCGCCGCCAGAGCCGCTGGCCTGACTGCCGCCGGAGCCGCCGGCCTGACCGCCGCCCGCGCCCGCACTGCTGCTCTCGGCGCCATCGCCGCGACCACCCCCTGCGGCCGCCCTGCGACCCCGGCCCCTAGCCGTCCCGATCGCCATCATCACGCCCAGGATGTTGTCCCGATCGTGGTTGCTGCAGAGGGGAAGGATTCCATCGGGGATCAAGGTCAGGTCGACGGTGTCTAGGCTCAACACCCGACGAACCACCATCCTCGCGTCCTCCTCACTCCAGTCCCAACGCTGGCCCACGTGGGTGCGCATCGGGTCGTTGTACCCAGTGTACTCCCACGCGCCGCGGGGCCGCTCCTAAAGAGGTGCGATGCGGCGGCGGAAGTAGTCGCCAAACACCACCGCCACCATCAGGCCCCGGCTCCGCAAGCCCCTGAGACGGTCCCAGACTACATCGTACTCCTCACCCAGCTCCGCGACCGCTTGCCAGCCCGCGGATCACTCAGGCTGGCCGGTGGGGAGCTGGAGGCGGTGGTGGTCAGGCAGCGCGGTGTAGAACCAATCCTTCTTCTAGTTGTCCCATTTCTTGCGGAGGTGGCTCTCGATATACTGCCCCATCACCCCTGCTGCAACTGTGGGATGAAGAAGAACTGGAACAGCCGCATGGACGGCCTCACCCCGACAAACACCTTGCACAGGTGCACGAAGATGGCCAGGATCATCACGGCGTTGGGGGCGAGGTGCAAGGTGTGGATCTCGTAGAAATCCAGAACCTCATGGAAAAAGCTGTAGAAGGGCGGGATCAGCCCCACCATGGTGAAGGACAAGAGGTGCACGGACCGCTCCGGGTACCGCAGGCATGGCCGCGACTCCCCCGCCCTCACGACAGCGCCTTCCGGCAATGTTACGCAATATATCACTCCTATACTATCCAACATGGTATCAGAGCGGGCGACCTAGAGCCGCCGCTCACGCTTCCGCCACCGTCGCCCTCGGGAGGGTTCCAATCTCCCGAGGGCAGTCACCAATTTTTTTTTCGTCTTCTGTCGTCGCTGTCGTCGTCGTCTTGGAGAGATCGATCTCCACGACCGTTCTTTGTCGACTCTAGCCGTCGTCAAGTAGCAGCAACAGATTGCATCTCCTCTGTCGACCTCCGTGCGCGGCGCTCTCGTATCGCCGTCAGGCCGCCCGTCGTCGACTTCATCCTCAGCGTCCGCGCTGCTCCGCCGGCCTAACTGACGCGGCCCTGCCGTCATCATCGCCTCCACTGGCCGACGATCACGCCCCGATGGACAGACAGACGGCGACCGCGCAGCGGCGGAGGAGGCGGCGGCCGGCGAGGATGGCTTGACGATGACTCGACAAGGACCATGACAGCGGCGTGGCCACACTGACCGGTAGATCCATGCTGCGAGATTATTGCTGCTGATTCTTGACTCGATGTCGATGACGACGACACGAAGAAGAACGCGGCCGCTGAGGAGACCGAGATCAATCCCTCTCAGCGACAAATGAAGACGCAGACGAACGACGACCGGCCATATAGGAGATTGAATCCTCCATGGCGATGGTAAGACAAGGAGAAAAAAAATTGGTGGCCATCTCCGGGAGATCAGAACCCTCCCGGGGGCGACGGCGACGGAAGCGTGAGAGAGGCGAATAGATCGCCCGCTCTGATACCATGTTGGATAGTATAGGAGAGATATACTGCGTAACGTGGGACGATTGTATTGAGCCTCAGGGGGACCGGTATGTATAGGAGTACATGAGGAGAAGATAAGGAAGGAATCCACACAAATCAATCCTATCCTAATACATCTCTAACTACCATATTCTTTAACAGTAGCAACAGGGCAGCACAACAAATCAATCCATGTGTGTACCACGGCACAAAGGTGCCGCCCAAAACCAAGGCCGCCGAGCTTGACGTCGTCGTGCTCTCGGTGGCGGATCCAGAAAATTGATTCATTGGTGTCATAACGTGTCTATTGGTGCCATAGTATACTAATTATGTTTAGATCATGGTGTTATAAGTTATAATACATGGATAAGCAGTTTCGCTATAGGTTTTACGAAAAGTCGCCAGTGTCGCCTGACACCGGTCATTGCACTATAGATCCGCCCCGGTGCTCTCCCCCGCGCTGGAGCCCCACGGCACCACGCGAGTCATGCGCCGCGCCCGGATCGTCGGAACCATGCTGCCTGGAGCTCTACCACGGCAAGCTCGCCATCATGCCGCTCTCCTCCAAGATGGAATTCTGCGAGTTCTGCGTCGCCTGTGCCAGGAACCGCAGCAAGCTAGACGTCAAACCGCGCGTCGCGGCTGCCTCCGAGCCCGACGCCGCCGCCGAGGAGAAGTTGCGGAGGGGTGCCATTGCCATGGGAGCTATTCCAGCCGGCGCTGATGAGTCGTGGCACACTGCCTACTGCCCTGCTGGGTCCGACGAGCTGAAGACGCAGGCCACCCACACCGTGGAGTGCCTGTACGTACTGGAGAGCCGCGGAGACCATGGACACGCACTCGCTGCTCGCCGCCAGGAGCCTCGTTGTAACATCCTGAAAATTCCCAATAATAAAAATCACTAAAATTTTTTGAACTTTTTAAAACTTTTGCATCATGCTGGTTGTTATGATTGCTATTGCTTACCAAACCGTAAATGATCACAAAGAAAGTAAAGAAAAGATCTAAATTTAAGCAATAGATATAATTTACGAGAATATATTTAATCCTACAAATAATTATACACAAGATATTAAAATCAAATAAAAGAAAAGTTATTATTAACCTATTTTATCAAATATTAAAATATTTGAATAATGTAGGTGGGTGCTATAATATGAGTACACATGAAATGATGATCATTCAAATAAACTGTGCTCTCTATATATATAATAGAATTATGGGAGTATTTAATTCGATATGTAGATCGATATTGCACCAAGTTCCTAATTGCATTTAGGGATTGAAATTTAATATATTAAACCCCTCCATATAAAATAAACTAACATATAAATAAATTGAGCTAATGTGCTAATGTGTTAATAATAGTCTCATTAGGAAATTATAGAATCTTTAATAAAACTTAAATTTGGACCATATTTATTTGAATATAAATTTCGATGAAATAACTTAGACGCGGTGTATTTTTACTTTATGACAAAATTAGTGGTAACAGTATATTTTTCCTAATTGCAAATTGCAAAGTACCCTCTAAAATCAGAAATAGTTGGCTAGCACTGTTCATTAGCCCCTAGGTGTTCGATTTTGTTTCTAGCCATCCCAGCTCTCTTTCTCCCCACTGCTGCACCGCCCTAGCCGGCCTCGAACCCCGCCCGCACCGGCGCCGTCGCCCTCGAGCCCCACGCGCCATCATGTCGTCCTCGAGCCCCGTGCGCCGTCCGTCGCGTCGACCATTAAGCCACCCTTCCTACACCCTATAAATACCCCCCTCCCATCTCCCTTCCTCCCCACACCATCTTGGCTGCCATCACACGGCCCCAAGAGCCCCCACGAGCTCGTCCACCCCTCTCTGCCTTTTCTATTCCCTCCATAAACATTTCGTCGAACACCTTGTGGGCGTGCTGCATCTTCCTCTCTACTCCGCCACCGCGACATCGAGCATCACCATCCCGCCGTCTCTCGGTAAGTCCTCACTCCCATGACCCCTCCTAATCCTCTAGGAACTATCTCCACCATCTATGTCGTTGATTAGGACCATAACCATGCCGAGCCCGAGCTCCGAAGCTCTGCTCATGGAGGTCGCTGTGGACAAGCCATCCCGGAGCTCCTCTTCTCCATCTAGTTAATAAAATGGAATCCCCATACCCTTTAGACGCTCCCACGCCCATCAATTTGGTCGGAAACCCTCTCTATCGCCCTAGCCCCGAAAACTCCCGAGCTCAGAACCATGGCGGTCCTTGGCTTAGCCGCCTGTCCACAAGCCACCATAAGCCGTGGCCGCCGGCGGGTGGTTGCTAGAGCTCCTTCGCGTCACCCCTGGCCGTCGCTGAGCCACCCTCGCCCCGTCCTGGCCGCGCCGCTCGGAGCTGCCCGCGCCCGCTGCGTCTCGGTGCGAGGAAGAAGACGACGGGAAAAGAAAGAACGAGAGAGAGAGAGCAGCCGGGCCCACCTGTCAATGGTTCATAGGATTTGCTTTAGAAAAATAATCCGGTAGGAAAGCAAATACAATCCTAAACCCCACATGTCAGTCACTTGGAGATTTGGATAAAGTTTAGGAATAAAAATAATGAATTAGGAACAGTACCTTTTTACAATTTCTCGGATTTATTCAAATTTGAATCTTTAAACTAGCGTAACTTATTCGTTTTAGCTCTGATTTGAGTGAAACTTGAATCTAAATTCATATAAATTCATAAGTTTTCTAATGGTATATAATTCACTATTTAATAAAATATATTTATATTTATAAAATAATTAATATCAAGATGATGCATAATAGTTAACTTAAAAATATGCTAATAAATAAAATTGATATTGTACTGTAAAGTAGATGTCAAATAATTGTCTTTAACACGCTTTCTCACTGTAAAACCTATGTAAACTAATTAGGAGCATTGTTTCAAATTAATTAAAGCATAGGAAATACTAGTGCCATTTATTAATATATGTCAATATATAATTATACTCATGACGTCCAAATTGTATAAATAATGTTTAGCCTCATACTTTGTGACTAAAAGTTGAACACACGTAGATGAGTCTTTAACTTGTTTATGAGAGATAATAACAGAGCTAGTGTGACTAAAATCACCCGCACGAAATTAATTAACGGCATTTCCTATACAGTAGTATATGTTTAGGTTGGAAATCGACCCTTAAATTGTATAGACGGTAACTCACTCATAATCCACTTAAAATCACATCTACTGTGTAGCTCGTAGTAAATAGAAACTATTCAAATAAATGATTCAATATTAAGATATTGTGCACACACCTATACTGTACATCCCATTATAACTATACGGTATAGTATTAATTTGCTTGTTGCATATATTAAATTAGAGGGACTACATGACAAACATGTATATACATAAATACTAGTTATAAATCTTGACCTCATATAATTATAATTATAGTTCAACTGTAAATTAGGATTATTCATTGTAAAATTATGTGATGGGATAATCTGTAACCATAATATGATTAACCTAAACAACTTTAACATACAAAGCATGGATAATTATTAACCTTTTATAATTTATTGTGACAAGTAAAATATGTTCATAATTAAAGTAAAGCCTCCATCAATTAAATAATAATACAAATGATTCATTATTTGATTGATCCTAAATCCATCTAACAACAGAACCTCTGGTATGTAACCGTGCTATTTAGATAGATGCATATATACCCATAATCCTTCCATAGCCATTTGATAGACTAAACCACCGATTAGCCAAATATATATGTATACCATAAATGCTATGTTGGTTAACTCCTAAATAGAGCACGATGACAATAGAAAGATTAAGAAACTTTAGCCCTTAGCATGATTGGAATCCATTAGCAAACACGAATAGTACATTTTATTGTGCATATTTGATTGTTGTTTGAATATTGGTTTTTCTCGCGTATTATAGACCTTGTGTATCGGTTAGTCGTGAGGCAACGTCTGCAATTTCCAGGAGGTGAAGGTTGATCAAGATTATATCAATAATAAGGATTATCCTGAGGAGGCAAGTCATCACTATTCCTTGAACATGTTGATCCCAATTGCGAAATTATTTTGTTTACAAATAAAATTGCATGCAATGATAAACATCCTATTTGTGAATATGCCATGCCTTGATTATTGTTTACTCTTATTCCCTTGTAACCATGATTACGTATGAGTCCCTAGTCAACTATGACAAATGCTTAGAAATGCTACTCTAGAATCATGCATACTCATATTTATCAAAATGCTTTATGCTTGGGCAATTACCTTGGGGAAGGTTATTGAGATGCGGCATGTGGAGACATAAGCGCCACATTGCCATGATATTGATGACATGATTTGTGAAAGGAAAATATAGTTAAACAACTGTTTTCGACTAGGGCGGCTGGAGGATTTTGGTGGTGTCCGGAAAAGGCTAGTACCGTCCCTGGTCAGTTAAGGATCGAGCCATGAAGTTAAGCATGAAATGATCCCCGTACAACCGCACTTCTCGTATGGGTATAGACCTAGCGGAGTAGATAGCTGAGCGAAGGGAGTATCCATGCGTAGTGGTCTTCTTTTAGGTGTGTGATGCGGCAAGCAGTCTGCTGGCGGATGCCCGGTTCGGATGGCCAGGTGGATGGCGGATGCCCGTTCCGGATGGTCAGAGGCTGGCTTGGCAATACTACATGAGGATACCCATAAGAGAACAATCATGATGGACTGGGTTCAACGACAAGAAGCAACGTAGGAATGTGTGTGTTTTTCCCTTCCCGGGAGCGCCAGAACTCCTCTCACTGCTAGAAACGTATGACGCCTAGAGTGCATGAGGGCTAAAGTTCATGGAGCGGGTGCTGCCAATGCGGGGTTATCGAAAAGCTTTGCCGTGATGCGTCTCATGTGTTGGGACGACGCTCATGTGTTGGGCAGTCGCAGAGTGCGGGTAAAGTGTACATCCACTGCAGTGTGAGTAAACCAAATCTATTCGAATAGCCGTGCTCGCGGTTATTGAGCACCGGGACATGTATTACACTTGGCTAGACTCTAAATTCTTAACTTGTGTGGGATGGGATATTGCATGATGATTTTTATGCTGTTGGAGCCACTTCCTGAGAGGCGGGAAGGTGGACGTCCTCAGAAAACCATGACGACTCAATGGCGGGAAGCTATCCTTGGGATCACAATGGATGGTGGACAGAACCGTCGTTGTTTAATGTGGACACTGGTACTAAAATTTGATCAGTCTATGCTAGGTCTTAGGCTTGTGAAAAGAATTACAAAACTTGCTTTGTGCAAAAGAACCATAGCCATTCCTTGAATACCCTCTATCATATGCATTGTTGTTTTGGTGGCTTGCTGAGTACGGTTGGTACTCACCCTTTCTATTTATATATCTTTTAGGAGAGTGTTGAAGAGAAGCCCTTGTCGGTACGCTTGCGTATCCAACAAGATGTTCGGAGTGCGGTCTTGTTCTAGGTCTCATTCCCCAGTCGACTGCCTGTGGCATGTTAACCGGGCCCTTATATTATTTTGTCTTCCGCTGTTGTTCTCTGATAGTTGTTGGCCTACCTGGCCCTAATGTAAGTATTTAACTCTTATAGCCTGAATTCATTCGTGATATGTTGTGATCCAACTATGTATGTGTATACCAACTACTGATCCAGGGATTGGTACGGATAAACACATAAGATTTCCGATTTCCAAAATCGGGGGTCTACACTCGTCCGGTTGTCCCAGATGACGGAGGGGCCGATCCCTGAGCCGTCCTTCTCCGGTGGCGTCGAGACGAACATGGCGTAGCAGCCGTAGCTGGAGCGGCAGGGTTCACAATTCCGACGAAAACCGGTCGAATTCCACGAAATTTCGACGTTTTGACACGGCTTGGAATTAAGTTTCTATTGAAATTTTAAAGGTTAAACAATAGATTTGGTCGAAATTTAGTCGAAATTTATCGAAAACCGTGATACTGATAGGACTCGAAATTTAGTGGTCAACCTGTAATGTAAACCCGTCTGGAGGCTATGAGGGCCAACATTCTTAGCACCAAGAACTGAACTGAGCGAAATTGAATTAGTCGTCAGTATTCAGGAATTTGGTCAGACAACCACCCAAACCGGCAAACCATCCGCCCAACGAGCAGATCGAAACACTCCAACCGGATCCATCCAATGCACCTGCCGAGCGGCAGCGCGCTACGCTCGCAGGTCGCGGCAACGTAACAGAGCAAGAACGATGCGTGCGTGTGCGAGCGCGAGAGCAAGTCAACAAAGGAGATGGTGGAAGTTCCTGTAACGGCCGATAACTCGCCGGTATCAACTCTCGACGGTGGCTGGAGATTGAAGATGGGCATGATCGACCTTGACTGAAGTCGCGATGGAAGACGATATTAATAGAAAGGGACTGAACAGATTTTCTATCCTCCTATTATGCAGATTTTTTAAGCCATAGGATAAACATCAAATTTAGGGAGTAACTATAATATGACGTTATAATATTCACCAAAAAAAATCGGCATATATATTTATATTGTAAGTTCGTAATTTTAGTATATTTATGATGTAAGTCATAAAATTACATATGTAATTATAGTGTAAGTACGATATAATTAGTAAGCGTGGGATCTAGAAAACACTGCTCAAATGCGAGGAAAAAACGCAGGCGTGTGTTTCGAAATTAAACAGTAAATGTGTGGGACCCATAGAACGCAACAACAAAGTACAAAAGCCCGGTCCATCTCAAAGTCCACAGCCGTGCCTGACTTTTGCTCAATCCAAATGCAGCACGAATTTTAAACAAAGATGAATGATAAAAAAAAGTGACAGATTTAGCACCCTATTTTCTGTCAACAGAGCATTAGCAATTCCGTAATAGAAAACCCGACAGCAATGGTATGGTTTGCATTTTAGAAAATTGCAATGGCATGTAGCAAGTTTCACGAATAATAATAGTATTTTTCTAAATGGGCAATTTTGTAATGGCATGGATCCAATCAACCCTATTCTCTATGGGCTGGGCCGAGCCTTGGGTCAGTCCTGAGTCCACCCCTATCTGTAGAAGGGCCTGTAGAATCTAAGGGTCCCTTTGATTTATAGGGAAAATATAGGAATTTTGGAGGATTTCAATCCTATGGAAAAAAATCCTATGAAGGCCTTTGAAACAAAGGATTGAATCATATCCAATCCTTTAAAATTCCTATTGAATGGGTAATCCTATACATATTTTGGAGGAAAGTTAGCAAGAGGTCTAACCTCTTGGAACATTTCCTCTGAGTCTATCTCTCTCATCCGATTCCTGCGTTTTTACTGCGCTCCAATCAAACGACCATTCCTGTGTTTTTCCTATGTTTTGTAATCCTCTGTTTTACACTTCAATTCCTGTCAGAATCCTGTGTTTTTCCTATTCCTCCGTTTTTTCTACCCTGCGATTCAAAGGGGCCCTAAAGTAGTGAAAAAACTAAAGATTTTCACCATTAGATTGCGCCACATCATCGAAAATACATGGACCGTCCGATTTCCACTTTAGATGAGATGAGCCGTCAGATCCTGCAATCGGCGAAACCTCTTCTAGGTCCTTCCAGAAATTTATTTTGCACGTAAGCGCTTCCACGTCCCTAAAAAAATCACGTTCCCTCATTCCTGCATCATCTATGCGTCGCTTCTCTGTCCCCAACGCGCCGCCGCCGCATACCCCCGCACTCCGCCTCCGTAGCGAGCTCGCCTCCGCACCTCCCCACCAAGCCAGCAGCTACCCCCTCCTCCTCCCACTCCTACCCCCAATCTCCTCTGAAGCCCCTCGTCGTCTCCCCTCTGCCGCCGTCAACGGCATCAGGTATAGGGAGGAGGATGAGGATACAGTGGCGGTGGAGATGGGGATGGCGAGATGTGGCTCCAGGTGCTGCTTTTGCCTCCACCGGCCCTCCCGCCGGCAACAGGACCACATGAACGCCCTACGCTCACCGCCCTAGACGCCGCCGCCGTCGTGGCCTTTCGCTCCTAAATTCCCAATGTTGCCGCCGATGCGTTTCCGGCGGCGATTGGGGTGGATCCCAACATGAGTGGTGATTGCGATGTCCTCTCACCCGATGGGTTTTCACAGGTGATGAGAATCATTCACAAAAAATATTTACTCCTTTTGATCTTTCTCCTGTAATTTCAATGCTTTTGAGATTGAACATTTTCTACGCTTCCGCCAGAGTTGTTTCCATCTTCCAATATACCAGCACCATAGCTTTCAATAGTTGGTCCTAGGAAATTACGAACATTTTAGCTGACCAGTGTATGCTTAATTAATTAGGAAACGTATCCCATGATAATGGATATAGGAAAAACCGAAAAAAGTAAAGAAAATGAGTGCCATGTAAAATATGAAGTAAAACTACAGAAAATATTTGATTTGAGTTCTTTATAAGATTTGACACTTTATTTTGGATGCACGGCAGCAAACTGTTAGAATACCGCTTAATGCTTTGATCGACATTGCACTTCGAAAAGATAAGGTATATCTAAAATCCAGATATAGTCAGAATGCCTATAAAACAGTGAAATTCCAAATGTAGTTGCTGAGGATGCTTTCCATGATTAGTGACAAAATTTTATTGGTAAAGAAAAGAAGCCCATAAGTCGGCAAGGTACCTATGAGATATAACCCATTGCATTTTTGTTTGTATTGAACTTACAATTAGGCATCCATGTCTTGCAGGTGTTTGATAATTCATGGTATAGGAATTCATCCGGAAGCACCTTGACAATAAGCCCATCGTCGAACTGCTATAGTGTGCAACTGCAGTGCTTATATTTATCTTTTCTTAGGGCAAAAGATAATCTCTGACATTGAAGTACTATGTTGCATTCTTACTTTACTGTAATTTAAACCATGCTAATTTATATCATAACAAAATTTGAACCAGACAATAAGTCATTGAGCTCCTCAGTATCTAATCGTTTTGGCACCAAACTGAGAAGTCTGAAGTAGCCAATAAGATTAACTGATGTGGCAAATCGTAGTGCTCTATGCCTCCTAGATTCGAGGTTTTGTGCTTCAACTTATGATATTATGTTAAATGACTTATGTTACCATATTTGGAAAAGGTTGATCCGATAAATTTTTGTAGTGATGTGTTTAGAGCACTTAACCTGGAAGCTCAACCCCCACTATGTAAGGTCTGGTGGTCTAATTCTTTCCAACTATTAAGCCATGTTAAAGATAAACATAATAAATAATCCCCCATTTATTTGTCCACTGTTTAGCACAAGGCATAATCCCTCATTTCCTGGTTGAATTCGTGGAATATCACATCTTCATGTGAGTGTTGTGGCCTAAGAAGTTCTATGGTTTTCATAAATTTAAAATCTAAGGTAGAATCTCATTATCATATATTATGATCCATATATACATGGGTTTTATATAGGCATCTAAAAGTCGCGCAACGCGCGACAAATTGGCTAGTATGCATGAACAAAACTCACATATCAAAGGTGGATAAGCATAAGTTGATAAGCCACATAGATAATAGAGTCATGGGCATTCAAGAACAGTCCTACCTAATTAACAAACCTAATACGACCTGTAACACATTATAAAACTACCACTCTAGACACATCTATAATATATCACATCTCATATTTGAACTATTTATTTTGAACAGAATAGGAAGCATATGTTTATATGCCCCCCACCCCACAAAATATGTCAAGTCTAGCACATTTATGCGAAACGGCTAAAACGCAATCAGTCGCCCCCCCCCCTCCCCCCGCGGCGAGGCACGTGGCGCGCGCGGAGGGGGCCGCGTGGCGGGCGCGTGCGTAGGGGTGGGGCCCGCCGGTTTTTTCCTCTTATTTTCGGTTTTTCTTTCCGGTTTTTTAGCATACACGTAGACGTATAAAAAGTTTGTATACGTGTATATAAACTTTGTATATGTCGTACATAAAGTTTGTATACGTGTATACAAACTTTGTATACGTGCAGTATATAAAGTTTGTATACGTGTATACGAATATACATGATGTTTTTTTTAGTTTTTTTATTTTTTAATAGGTATGTATATAAAGTTTGTACACGTTGTATATAAAGTCTGTATACATCACATACAAAGTTTATACACGTTGTATACAAAGTTTGTACACATCGTATACAAAGTTTGTATGTGTGTATTTTTTTTATACATAAAAAATATATATATAAAAATATATATTTTATATAGTAGTAATACTAGTAGTAGTATAGAAGTAGTAGTACTAATAGTAATAATAGTAGTGTAGTAGTACTAGTAGACTACTAGTACTAGTAGTAGAGTAGTACTGTAGGTGGTCGCGCGGCCCCCCCCCCCCCACCCCCGGCGCGCAGTTATGTAGCGCCAGTGGCAGTGGGAGTAGCATATGTTTACAATTCCGGTTTTCAAATTTTGTTCAGGATATGCCTTTCTTCACGTGGGGTTAATAGATGAGGAGGAGACGAGACGGAAAACAGTGTAGGAGACGGAAAAATGGAAAATTTTCAACCGGGCTCGATCACCATGGTGGTCCTGAGCCAAAAAGGCCAAGCAAGGAAAGGCCCATCCCATCCGGCCCAGTGGCTGTTATTGGGTCCGTACAGGACAGGGGCAGAAAACAATTAGGCTAGAATAAAACCAAGCCGTTTCAATTCATACCAAACAAGAGAAGCCTTGCAATTAGAATTGGCGCCTATCGAGAACAAAATAGGCTTTTCCCTCTTATTTATTGTTTTTACTGGTGCATGCATGCAAACCTGGAACATTATATCTTTTATTACATGACATATGCATACGCAGTTACCCACATACACCACTTGTTCCTTTGTAATCGCACATCCTTGATTTTACTAAAGTTATGTTTGTATGTGTGTAATATTTGTAGACATCGGGATTTGAACTTAGTTTAATGAGTGGAGTTATGCACCCATAATTCCACTACATACTATTGGTGTTTCCCTAATATGGAGCATTACTTTGATCACCTCTAATCTATTGGCCAGACAAATACAGTAGTATTTATAGAGGAAGAAATTAATATTGTACTATACTATACATTTAGGGAAGTACATATGTGTACATATATATGTGCATCTCTCTGAACGCTAGCTATCTTTTTCAAAAGTCATGCATCTCGTTAAGACACCAACCGACTAATCATTGACGCTAAGAACCACCGCTGTAAAATCTACCAACGAAAAACTAATGAAGAAAAAATAAAGAGTAAAATGTACTTCCCTAATTGATCCTGGTGGTAATTAACACCAACGCATTCATGTCTTACATGGACGAACTAAAGTTTTCTTAGACACATGCATGTTTTTCTTGAAAGAAGAATTGAAAATATATATTATTTTTGATGATTTTGCAATGGAAGACTAGCCAATATAGTTCTTGAAGTTTTGATTTGGGATCAATTTAATGCCTAACCTCTTATATTATCAATGAGTCCTTATAGTTTATCGTACGGCACAATATAGTCCTTGGCCCTAGTTAACTCATGACGTGAATACACCATGTCATCCTCTCATGTAAAATTTACCACTACTACGAGAATAATTTTCGCGTGCAGTCAAAACCGGTTTCGCGTGCGGGTAGGCGGCCAGCACGCACCCAAGGGTATGCAAAAATCGGATTTGTCTCCCGCACGAAAAAACAAAAAACCAAAAAAAATAAAATTTCAAGAAAAAAGAGAAAACCCTAGAATCGGCGGTGCCGCCGCTCCCGGCCGCCACCAAATTCTCCTTGTCATCGTCGTCGGCCAAGGACGTCGCTCCCACCCTCGTCGTCGTCGTCGGCCGAGGACGCTGCTCCCGCCCTCATCAGCGGCGGTGGCGGCCGCCGTGTCGCCCGCCGCTGGATCCGTCCTCCCCTCCGGTCGCACCGCCGCCGACGCCCTCCACTCCGCCGAATCTTGGGAGGGAAGAAAGGGGATGGGAGCAAGATCCCGCGCAGGGAGAGGGTGGCCGGCCACCGGATCCATGCGGGGACGGCCGCGGTCGCTAGATCCGTGCGGGGGTTGGTCACCGCCCGCTGGATCCCGTGCCTCCACTGCTGCTACGTGCAGGAGGCCGCCGCCGCTGTTGCCGCACGCCGCCGTCGCCTCAGCCTGCCGCCACCATCGGGAGGAGAGGAAAGGAGAAGAGAGGAGGGGAGAGAGGAGTGAGGAGAGGAGAGGCCGCGCGGAGAAGAGAGGAGGAAAAAAAGGGATAGAGAGGAGAGGAGAGACAGAGGGGAAAATTTAAAGTGGGTAAGAGGGAAAAGAGGGTGTGGGTATTTTGTCATGCAGCCCTCTTAATAGGTCCGCACGTGAAAATAGGGTCATTTTCGCGTGTGGTCCATTTAAGAGGACCGCACGGAAAAATCATAAGCATAATTTTTCTTAGAAGCGACCAGTTATGGTTCGTGTGCAATTTAAATGGGTCCTATACAGGAAAATTGTTTTTCAGTAGTGTATGGTGAAATGCCAATTTACCATTTACATATACCATATGAAAGAAAAAAAGTAAAAATATTATAAAACAGCAATTTTACATTTTAATTAATTATTATAGTTTTAACATTCAAATGTGACTATGGACATATGACAGTATACCTGTTTTTTCTCTGCCTGCATGCCAATATGAAGTTAAATTAGCTACAAACACCTAATATATAATTAGCATGCCAAACAAATGCCGGGTACAGAGTTGCATTATTTGAATGTTAAAATTGTAAAATAAATTAATACGAAAAATTACTTCTTTTCTTTTTATTCCCCTTTTTCCTTTTCTTTTTCTCTCCTTTCCAAGATATATGCAAGGGAAAATTGGATATTTCATCATATATTTGAATGGGAGGAACACATGGAATGCCCACGTGATAATTTTCAATTAGTTCAGGGACTACATAGGCCACATGACAAAGTTTATGGCTTTGTTTGTATAATTTAAAAGATCAGGGACTAAATTGATTGTACGTAGATCGAAAACTTCAAGGACCATAATGTATATTCCCCCTTTTGCAGTTATGTATGTTCTTTAAATAATTGCGGAAAAGAAGTTTATCTGTTTTTCTAGATATGCATGTTAATTGAATTGGCAATTGAGCACATCTCATGAGATTAAAATTAACTCTCTAATTATGAAACCTCCACTGAGAATGTGCTGAGAACTAACATGGTGTTTACTCTCTCCATTCCAAAATATAAGACGCAACTAAAAAAATTACTATCACCTAGTCATTTGGATCATCCTAATAAATACATGTACTCAGTAGAATAGAGATTTTAAGGGTGAAGGATTTAAAAAAATAAGAGAGGGGAAGATATTACTTAATTGTGTGCATGCACATGTCTTGTAGTATGAAACATCGAAAAAGGTTAATTAGTTGCATCCTATATTTTAGAATGGAGGGAGTAGTTTTCAACACCGTATATAGTACATAGGGAGTTAATTTATTCACACACCTATTGTTCAAGAATGAATATATTGGACTGATCAATCTGCTAACCTCTGCAATATTGGATGCACTAACAATCTGAAACAAAAGTACCGTTCAGATTAAAACAATGAAACACTAATTAATTGGGAAAGTACTATGCTGACCTTTCCGTAGTTTTGGAACAAATAGTTGGAAGAGCTGGTCCAGTTCAATCGTTCAGTGATTCTTTAGATCTCTTCCGGTCGGCCACATCTGCCGTCACAAAGAATGGTCCAAACTCGTACACTTTTCATTGTCCATTTCCTGTTATCCATCTGGACCTCTACCCAAGGGCCGGCGGACGGACAGCATGCATATGCAGCCGGGGTAGCTCTGCATTTCTTCAGTAATTGTCTTGTCCGGCCATGCATGCACACACGCATGATCATCGGTCGATCGATCGATCCATATTATTTTGCTTGATTCAGAGCTACGTATCGATGTGTATGATTATCACACAGAGGCCAATTCGATCTTGTGTTCTTGGCATGCAGATCAAGGGATCACGAGGCTTATTGCGGAAAATATACTGCCGGCATATATATGTACAAGTTTGATTCGAACGGTTTTGATCATGTACTGTCCAATCATGCACCTACGCATTCATGTATGTGGCTGCAAAAGTGTAGATACAGTTA